AAATAGCATGCGAGGTACAGCAATCCAACTCTATTTTAAGATACTGTTGCCTACCAAAGACCATATTATGGGTTAATTTCTGTGCATACAGAAACAGTTAACTGCATTTACATACATTGTAACATTTAGTAATCCTACATAAAACATGAGCTACAATAATCTTTAATAGGTAGGAAAAGCTTCTGCATTATGTTACTGTGTAGCAAATACTATTTTAGTGACAACATGTCCATACAAGAACAAAGGTAAAATTGCTAGAGAACACAATCTCTGTCCCATTTCCACTTTATCCCAAAGGAGTTATTGCCCAATTCACAGATTTGTCTACGTGTGCTGAGCTTACGTTACAATCATGACTGTCATGCCCCTAAAGCTCCCTTGTTTTCCCTGAAAAACTAATATTAACATTTACTCTATACTGCCACCTTCTCAGCCAAGTAAAGCAAATAACCTGTAGTTTTAATGCACTGTCAGTCCCTGTTGTGATTTTCACCTCTTACATCTCAAGTCTAGAACTACAATGAATTTAAGTAAAAGCGCAAAAAAAAATCCCCACCACAAAACAATCATGCAGAATTAGCAATTGCTAAATTATGCATTATTTTCATATGCAAGTCAGAATCTCTCAGCTGTGCAAACTGGGTTATGGTCATAACAAACTTGATTGTGCTGGGAGGGAGGGGGGATGATCCTGTACTGTGCCAGACCAGATGGCAGACTTCAAACTTATCTGCAATCTCTTCATTAAGTATACACAGAGCAGTAACAGTGACTGTCCATGAATGGACCCTTTCACTGATCAGACATAACTAGCTACACCAGCATGATCAACACAGCTCTCTATTCTCTTGCTGTTACCTTCTTCTCCTATTGCTCCAGCACAGCTCACTAAAAATAGAGACAATTTCTTGGTGGCAGAAGGACCAAAGGAAGAAGGAAAAAGGTAATACGGGTGGGTGGGAGGGACAACTTTGCCATGGAGTTGTCACTTCCCCTGTCGTTATTCATGGTATTACATCACTCATTCAGTGTACATTCAAGTGAAGTATCCCACATGCAGAAATCAAGATTTAAAGTGTATGCCACTTATTATGCAACTAAAAGCACAGAAGACAAAGGAACTTATCAATTTAAGGAAGAATACTGTTAAAGCAAGGATTTGGAAAGTAATTTTGTGAAAGAAAGATTTCAATTTAGCAAGAATTAGAAGGGGTTGGAGTGGGGTGGAAACAACTTTTCTTAGCTAGAGGAGACTGAAGACAAGAACATAAGTGCAGACCAACAACACTCAGTGCCACCAAGACAAGATCACGAGACTGCAAAGCAATAGTCTTTGAACATTAACATTCACAATATCCAAGGAGACAATGTTAAGTATTGTTATGAAAGGGAGAAAAATAAACAAATCATGATGACAATTAATAAAACTGTGATTTTAGACAACCCAGGGAATGCCAACTAATTCTCCTGAAAGTGGCATAGAGACATTTTCAGAATGAGAACAACAAGGATGGTCCTGGCCAACAGGATCACCAAGAGTTATCAACTGGTGCGATGCTGATGTATCTTCAACCCCAGGCACAGACTGCTAAGAGGAAGAGGAAGATAAGGACGATAAGGTGCCTGTCCAATCGCTAAGGCAAAATGATTTGAATAATCCATTACCACCAACGGGTGTATTCCTGCTCTCCCTTCCAGCCTCCATATCTTGGCTACAATCCCCGAGTTGCGCATCAGCAAATATGAGGCCCCTCTGAGCCTATGTAATTCATACAAATAACATATAACAAGCCTCAAAATAGAAGTGGCAAGTTTTCGTGTGTTAAGTACCAGTGTCAAAGCTGGGACAAGGGAGGACTTGAGACAATGTAAATAAGAGTTTTGGGGATGGACAAGAGGAAAAGGAAGTCATATCCTCCCATTTTTGATGACTATAGAATTGCAGCCTCTTTCAACATTTGTCACTATTATCAGCCATCTATATAGACTATAGATACTTCCAGTGGGCCAGTGCATGGCAGTTCATCTACAGAATTTCTCTACACTTCCAGGTCAGTGAGCTCTTAAATACACAGCAGAATTACTTTTTAAGATGGAATACTGACGTTAATAACTGCAAAGCTAAATTTCCTTTTTCAGACAAGCATTTTCTCCTATGAAAAGTCTTCTGTTTTACCTAATGATATGTTCTTCCACTTGTGATTCCAATAAAACTAAGTTGTAGAAGAAGGGATGACTTTTTAAAGTCCCTTATAGTCCCTATATATAGTTCCTGGAGAGAACAGAAAGGATCGGTCAAAAGGGCAGAGCTGCCAAGTCATTGACCTCTTTCAGAAGAACCATAGCAGCATAGAAAAACTTTAAAGGTCTGCTCAACTGCAGTCAGCCACAAGGAAGACAGGCAAAAAGAAAAGAGCTAACTTCAAGTACTGAGTAAGAACAACAAATCTCAAAACAGATCTGCTATGGCCATGAAGTATTAGCCTCTCCCAGCTTCTGCATAAAAATCATGGGTTTTGCTCCATGGGCACTAGGTCTTCTTCAAAGGCTACTTCCTCAGCAGGATGTCCTCCATTAGAAACAGCACCATTGAGCTGACTGGGCACGTGGAAGGGTAGAACTCAGCCATACTAAGAAAAGGTGTTTTGGTTCACAATCTAGCCATGAGGATTAATAAACTCTAAGCAACAGTTTTCAGGCACTAAATGAATAAAAAAGAAAATAAACTCCTTTGTTGGTACACAATGATTTACCAAAGAGACCCGGGGTTCCTGCCCATTTATAAGGTGAAACTTCATTTAACAACCACCACCACAAAATCTGTCACAAACAGATAGGAATTTCTTTCTTCTCATTTCAGCTATGATGAGGAAAAAAAAAAGCTGCTTCACAGTAAAAAGTTCCATTACCTCACGTAACAGTTTCAATACTGTATAGTTGAATATCAATTCTGTAAACTTGGTGAAAATGTCTCAAAGTTGAACACCTTCCTCAGGCTACTGAAATTAAAAAAAATAATAATGGATAGAGCAAAAACAAAGCAGCACTGTTAATGAGTGTACAGGTTTCTGCTCTCAAGAGAGCAGAATTTGGCTCTCAAATGACCAACACTTTCTGGTTACCTCCTTCAAAGGAATCATTCTTATCAACTTATCTGGGCAGAGAAACAATAGCCACATTCTTATGAGAAGCGATTGCCGGGTTTACAAAGGCAGCTCTCATATTTCTTTGTGAGAAAATCTTTTGGGGGTGATTTTGAGCCTTGCAGTCAGTGGCCAAGAGCTCAGAAAGCAACTGCAACACTTGCAGCAATATAGACTACCTTCCTATGAAGACAAAGCAGCTTCTTGAGCTCTGTCTCTTGATTCACCAACATCAAGTTACTTAAGTAGAGCAGGTGGTTTGTTGATTACTCATGCCATGGGAAGAACTGAAAAATGTGGGAGACAAGAAAGGCAATCTTACTGATGCCTTCGGTATATCACTCCTGAAGTAAAAGAGGCTGAGATCTAGAGGGAGACCTGCAAAATCAATGCAGAAAACATCCTACATTTTTAAAAATTAAGAAACAAAAAATTCAAGTTTTTCTTATGCTATGCAAGTTACCGAAGTGATCAACTCAAATCATCTTTCAAGCCTGAGGAGAGACAAAGATGCAATACTGCCTAACTTTTTATATTAAAAAAAAAAGAGATCTGTATGAATAACAGTCAGAGATCCAAAAAAAAAAAAAGCCTTGTCACCTTGTCATACCACAGAAAGAAAACGACTGACAAACAAACAACAATATAATCAATGATTGTCATACAGTGGCTCCAATACTTAAGCCCACAGCAACAATGCAAAGGCTTGCATTTTAACTTTCCAAACAGAAGAGGTTTCCGTCTACTTGTGTTTTGCTTCACTCAATAAGAATCTCCAATAAAAACATACTGAACACTAACTTTTCATACAAAAATAAAGTTTAGATAAACTGTCACTCAATCAGATCTCACCATTTGAAATAAAGATTTAAGTGTGACCTTGATGTGTTGATCATTAGACTGACAAGCCTGCATCATCCCCTCTTTACATCAGATGATCTTTTGCTGCAGATGGGTAGAGGCATGCTTTCAGCACAGCTCATTCAAATTAGTGTTAATTATTGATTAGAATAAACTCAGCTCGTTCCAGTTTTCTCCCATAAAAGAGAACATGCATATTAGTACCACTGACTTTTGAACATGCCAGATTTCTGTTTCAGAGAATATTTCTACAAGACAGGGTTCAGTTTAAGTTCTCTGAATTCACTAGAACATGTTCCCCATTTCCTTCCACAAGTTACCAGCACTTTCACCATTCCCCAAACTGGCTGTGTTTTTACTGAAAAGTTTTCTCTCTGGTTAAGCAATGCCGAGGGACCAAAATGCCAAATGAACATCTGCTATTGCCATATTCCAGCCCAGTTGTTTTTCTGTGTTGTGCCTTGCTTCAAAGAGATCTCCCTGACATACATTAAACAAGAATACTAAGTAGCAGCAAATTACTGGTATAGTATAGCTCCAGATAAGCACTCAAATTGCTCCATGTGTTTCAGGTATTAAGTGTACTGTAACAGCAATGTAATCTTGTCAGTATTACTTTCTTTTTTCCACAGCTGTGTGCTCCTCAGATTTCAATCAAAAGCAATATATGAGATTTACTTAGAATAAAAACATAAACTATAAACATTAAAATCCATTACTAGCTTAGGAGGAGGAAGAATGGGAAAGACCCCTAAAAAAAAGGAAGTACACATTCTTTAAAAAGATTCCTTGAAAACAGAAACAAAAACAGAGAAAGAAGCAGCCCCAGCGTGTGCAGCCCATGAAAAAGCAATGTTAATCTTTGATCAACCCCACTGCACTGACGATGTTTAGCTAGGAGTGTCAGCGTGAGGTGTGGGGCGGGGAGGGGGAGGAAGGGAACCCAGTTTGAAGAAAAAAAACCCAAACCAAAGTCTTGAATTAATGACACACTACCTCAGTGATTGGTTGCCCTTGTGATGTCAAGTCCAGTTCCTGAGGTCTTGTCACCTTATCGATATCCAAGGAGTCCATGCTGGAAGCTGCAGAGGTTATGCTGGAACGGGAGGAGTTACTAATTGAGCGCACCTCAGCATCACTCACTGTGCCAGCAGATGCTGTCCTCCTGTGCTGAGCAGTAACTACTGGTTTGGCGTCTTCTGCAACAGACTGTTGGGCTGCCTCATCCATGCTCAAAGAGGCCTTCTCTAACTGTGCAGTGATGTCATCCAAAGATACGTTGGCATGTGATGGTTTTGTCACCTTACCAGATGAGGAGGATAATCCTTTCATGCTGCTGTGCTTAGTAGGAGGTCGGCCAGCAGGTGGTTTCTGAGCTTTGGAATCTGTGGCAAGGCGTTTCACTGCAGCATTGTTTGCTGAATGAGACCCAATGCTGCTGAGCTCCTGCTCTATGGAACAAAGGTCAGCCATGAGGGCATCTAGATCCACAGTCTCCCCCTGATTCAGGGCTTCTGCAATAAACAAGAGTTTTCAGTATATGCAGAGTTACTTCATTTGTCTGAGCAACTCTTCACTTTGTGTTATCAAATTTAATAACTAGGATAAGGGAGCAAAGGAAGCTGTATTTTGTTTTCCCATATGTATTGAAAAATTTCTGCTCACTGCTAAGGGAAAATTTATTTGCACTACTACTCTTGACTGGTCTAAGAGCAATTAAAAAAAAACACAAACAAAACTATTTAGGTTAAATACATTTGGCAACAGAAGAAATCTATGAATGTTCAGATTACATTTGAAAAGTTTAAACTGCTGTCCTGTGAACAGGATCTAAAACCACATTTGTATAATAAAAACAGTATAGGTGTTTTGCTTAGCATTTTCTGCTAAAGCAATGCAAGGTATGCGACACTGCTTTTAAAAATACCCACAAAACACAATACATATACTCAAACCTTAATATTAAGGCTTCCTGTATTACAACCACAGGAAGCCATTTTAAGACAAGGAAAAACATGATTTTTGTTTAACATGAAGGCACTCTGTAGCTATATTCCTGCATCCAGTCCCATGAAGCAAGATGCTCATTCTTCCTTCTTAACTGATACACGTCAATTCATTCTTTCACGAGACTAGATCCCAGAATCTATATTTCTGTACAAATGCTAGACTACAATTCTCAGCTACTAGGTGCTGTAAAAGATACTGCTTTAGGATACTCAAAATTCTGTTCCACCAGAAAGCAATGCCTTCGGCAAACATGTTCTCACTTCAGCTAAAAGTGTATTTAAATGTTCCTGTATTTTACAGTGTTCTCCTTTGTAGCTGGAACAGGTTTTCTTTTTCCTAAACTAATATTTGAGGAGGTAAATAATTCAAACAAACCATTCAAATTGTACATGGAGAAGCGATACGAGAAGTTGGCAAGATTGGTTTCCTGATGGAGAGGTGATCTCTTCACTGGTGCCATAGGCTTGTCTGTATCCAAACTCTGAAAAAGACCCAAAAAAGGGATAGAATGAAGTTTGACAAGGAACTGAACAAGCAAATCTTCAAGATGATTGAAAATTAATTTTCTCTAAGAGAATTTTTTCAAAAACTCCTGGCATATAAAAAAAGCCCATACCACAGAAATTTAGCTTCACATATTCAGTGGAAAAAGATGTTAATCACATTCTGTGTTTTTTTAGAATCAAAAGGATAGAAGCATATTTCAAATGCATTTTTAAATGAGGTTACATACTAACTCATTTTGAAACACAGACTGGCCTACCTGTAACATCTTTTCTGTATCTAAACACATCCAAACTGTGGCACCCTCTCTAAGAAATGCATCATTAGCTTATGAGCATAATCATGGCATAAGCATTCAAAAGCGTTCAATGAAGAATTCTGTTTTATTAAAAGGGATTCAGTCATTTTTCTCAATAAGACCTTCCTGGGAGAAATGTTAAATTGTGAAAGCAAACCCCAGCCAGTTTACATAGGATAAGTTTTTTTACAAAAAACTAATATTTAAAAGAAGACAAAAAAAAAAAGAAAAAAAAAAGATACATCTTTCTATCCAGTACACTGAATTCTTGTATTATGAAGTCTAATGTGAGCATAGTATAATAAATACCAGCATTTGTTTTAAGTAGCAAGCAGTAGGGCATTATGATCCAGCTGGTGACCCAAGAGATTGCATGACAGGGTCCAGAGCTGCAGCCCCTGGAAGACAAATGTTACATGGGAAATCTATCTCTTGCTGTCACTGAGGCTCAACAGGCCTGCAAAGAGTTCGAATTTAAGCAATGCTTGTACTGATAAAAGTTTTCCTGAAGATGCACTTGTCTGAAAGAAAAGTCTCTTCTAACTCCAACAGAACAACCCCATGCAGCACTACAGACTTGGGGAGGAGTGGCTGGAAAGCTGCCCAGAGGAAAAGAACTTGGGGTTGCCAGTTTACAGCCAGCTGAACATGAGCCAGCAGTGTGCCCAGGTGGCCAAAAAGGCGAAGAGCACCCTGGCCTGTATCAGGAACAGTGTGGCCAGCAGGACTAGGGCAGTGATTAAACCCCTGTACTCAGCCCTGGTGAGGCCTCACCTCAACTACTGTGTCCAGTTTTGGGTCCCTCACTACAAGAAAGACACTGAGGTGCTGGAGTTTGTCCAGAGATGGGCAACGAAGAGAAACTGACATCATCTACCTGGACTTGTGCAAAGCATTTGACAATGTCCTGCATGACATCCTTGCCTCTAAATTGGAGAAACATGAATCTCATGGATGAATCACTCACTGGATAAGGAACGGGTTGGATGGTCACACTCAAAGAACTGCAGTCAAAGGCTTGATGTCCAAGTGAAGACCAGTGATGAGTGGCATTTCTCAAGGGTCAGTATTGGGACCGGTGCTGTTTAACATCTTTGTTGGTGACACGGACAGGGGGATTGAGTGCACCCTCAGCAAGTTTGTAGACAACACCAAGCTCTGTGGTGCGACGAACACACTGGAGGGAAAGGATGCCATCCAGAGGGACCTGGATGAGGTAGGGCTTGAGAGGTGGGCCCATGCCAACCTCATGAAGTTCAATAAGGCCACGTGCAAGGTTCTGTACATGGGCTGGGACAATCCCAAGCGCAAATACAGGTTGGGCAGAGAATGGACTGAGAGGAGCCCTGAGGAGGAGGACTTGGGGGTGTTGTTGGATCAGAAGCTCAACATGAGCCAGCAATGTGCGCTTGCTGCCCAGAAAGCCAATCGTACCCTGGGCTGCATCAAAAGAAATGCGGCCAGCAGGTTGAGGAATGTTCATTCTACCCCTCTACTCCACTCTGGTGAGACCCCACCTGGAGTACTGCATCCAGCTCTGGAGTCCTCAGCACAGGAAGGACATAGACCTGCTGGAGTGGTCCAGAGTAGGGCCATGAAATCATCAGAGGGCTGGAGCACCTCTCCTGTGAAAACAGGCTGAGAGAATTGGAGTTGTTCAGCTTGGAGAAGAGAATAGGTCTCTCCCACTCTCTCTGGGGAGACCTTACAGCAGCTTTCCAGTACCTAAAGGAGGCCTGAAGGAGAGATGGGGAGGAACTCTATCACTCACTATCAGGGAGTGCAGTGATAGGACAAGGGGTAATGGTTTTAAACTGAAAGAGGGAAGTCTTAGGTTAGATATTAGGAAGAATTTTTTTGCTGTGAGAGTGGTGAGACACTGGAACAGGTTGCCCAGACAAACTGTGGATGCCCCATCCCTGGAGGTGTTCAAGACCAAGTTGGACAGGGCTTTGATTAAGCTGGTCTAGTGGGAGGCATCCCTACCCAAGGCAGGGGGGTGCAACTAGATGATCTTTAAGGTCCCTTCAAACCCAAACCATTCTATGGTTCTATGAAGCTGTTGAAGGGTCTAGAGCACAAGTCTTACAAAAGATGGCTGAGGGAACTGGTATTGTTTAGCCTGGAGAAAAGGAGGCTCAGGGGAGACCATATTGCTCTCTACAGCTACCTGAAAGGAGGTTATAGCAAAGTGAGGGTGGGTCTCTTCTTTCAAGTATTAACCAATAAAACAACAGGAAACAGCCTCAAGCTGCACCATGGGAGATTTAGATTGGACATTAGGAATAATTTCTTCACCAAGCAGGTTGAGGAATGTTCATTCTACCCCTCTACTCCACTCTGGTGAGACCCCACCTGGAGTACTGCATCCAGCTCTGGAGTCCTCAGCACAGGAAGGACATAGACCTGCTGGAGTGGTCCAGAGTAGGGCCATGAAATCATCAGAGGGCTGGAGCACCTCTCCTGTGAAAACAGGCTGAGAGAATTGGAGTTGTTCAGCTTGGAGAAGAGAATAGGTCTCTCCCACTCTCTCTGGGGAGACCTTACAGCAGCTTTCCAGTACCTAAAGGAGGCCTGAAGGAGAGATGGGGAGGAACTCTATCACTCACTATCAGGGAGTGCAGTGATAGGACAAGGGGTAATGGTTTTAAACTGAAAGAGGGAAGTCTTAGGTTAGATATTAGGAAGAATTTTTTTGCTGTGAGAGTGGTGAGACACTGGAACAGGTTGCCCAGACAAACTGTGGATGCCCCATCCCTGGAGGTGTTCAAGACCAAGTTGGACAGGGCTTTGATTAAGCTGGTCTAGTGGGAGGCATCCCTACCCAAGGCAGGGGGGTGCAACTAGATGATCTTTAAGGTCCCTTCAAACCCAAACCATTCTATGGTTCTATGAAGCTGTTGAAGGGTCTAGAGCACAAGTCTTACAAAAGATGGCTGAGGGAACTGGTATTGTTTAGCCTGGAGAAAAGGAGGCTCAGGGGAGACCATATTGCTCTCTACAGCTACCTGAAAGGAGGTTATAGCAAAGTGAGGGTGGGTCTCTTCTTTCAAGTATTAACCAATAAAACAACAGGAAACAGCCTCAAGCTGCACCATGGGAGATTTAGATTGGACATTAGGAATAATTTCTTCACCAAAAGGGTTGCCCAGGGAAATGGTGGATTCAGCATCCCTGGAATTATTTAAAAGACGGGTAAATGTGGAGCTTAGAGACATGGTTTAGTGGTGGACTTGGCAGTGCTAGGCTAATAGTTGGACTCGATGATCTTAAAGGTGTTTTCCAACCTAAAGGATTCTATGAAAATTCCTCACCTAAGGTTTTTGTTTCCATTTTCTACATCTTTACTCACGCCCTTCTTAAAAATCAAATGCACTATTTTTTTCCCCCTAATATTTATCTTCACTGAACTAACTTATCAGTTTGGCTTGAACTTCAAAAAAAAAAATAAAATCACTTTATTGGGAAGTCAGTCATCACTGAATGAGAAGCCAGTAGATGCAGCCTTGTCTTTCATCAGGTGGAAAAAACCTCACCCCTAGTGCCTCTGGTGGACCTTACAAAATTGCTGAAAAAGAATATTTTAAAAATAAAATAAAAAAGTATATATCTATAACCCTAGAGGCAGCAGAGATGTGCTACTTCTGAAACTGGCTCATTCCTTCAGACTAAACCCATAGACTGCCACAAAAGATTTCCTGTAAAGCAAATATATTCTGGCTAAAAGCATCTAAAATGTATTTTAGTTAATTTAATAATAATTAAATTACTTCACATCCTTGGAAACATATGCAATATACTGTCACATTCTCCATAACACATTATGATGCTAAAGCATCAGTTTAGAGAATTGCTAAAATCTGCAACAGCACCAAAAGCTTAGTTCTGAATGATCATATAAGCACAGTAAGTTTTTCTTCATCTAACCTGCACTATAAAGCAGGATAAAAGTTAGTGCACTCCACATCAGTGCCAAACACTGCTTGCATGTGCTGTGAATTTTGTGACTATATTTTATAATGCTTTTATTGACCAACAGTTAAAGAGGGCAAAGTGAATTCAAATGATCTCATGGGCATTAAGAATTATGAATCTTTTAAAAAGCATTTTCATCTGGAAAGAAATCTGGGTCTTACTTTCAATCCCCTCAAAATAAACATTTATGAAATAAAAAAAGTCAAGGAACCTGGGGACAAAACCCCTTTCTTCCTACCGACCTTTGAGTCCAGCTGATAAATAGCAACAAATGCTGAGCGTACAGGAGAATGCACTTTGGAGCTCACTAGCTCTAATCACCCCACCTATATTGGGACTTTATTGGGTCAGCTGCATAAAGACATAATCACTTTCCAAACAAATGAACTGAGACGCAACTAACTGCATTAACTTGTTTATACAAAAGCATATGGTGTCATTCAAAGTTTTGGGGGAAATGTCATTTCTCAGAAGTTGCAAAAGACAGAAAGACAACTGCAGGCTATGTTACAGCAATATGAAAGTGAGAAACAAATAATATGAGTCCTTCCCTCAACTATCTGTTAGTAGGTTTTAAGAATTTTGCATGGATCAGCACACAAACTGAGACATCACCAAAAAGTTATGTCAACAGGGTAGCTGTAAGCCCCACATAAAGTATACTTCTATT